AGGATTTGGAGAACAGTCTTTTTTATTTTATTTTTTATTTTTTTTAATTTCTGAGAGAGAGATAGAGACAGCGCAAGCAGGGGAGGGTCAGAGAGAGAGGGGGACACAGAATCTGAAACAGGCTCCAGGCTCTGAGCTATTCCTCAGCACAGAGCCCAACACGGGGCTTGAACCCATGAACTGCGAGATCATGACCTGAGCCGAAATAGGTCGCTTAACCGACTGAGCCACCCAGGCGCCCCGAGAACAGTCTTAACATCTGCGGAGTACTCTCAAGTGAATCAATGAAAAAATGTAAAAATATACAAAGGGTGATGGAGCAAATTGGTCAAATATTGACAACTGGAGCTCCATGTGCAGGAGACAGTGGTGTTCATTATGTCATTCTAGCACCTTTTCTGTTGGTTTGAAACTTCTCTAAACTAAAGCTTGGGGAGTTGCAGCACCTGGGTGGCCCGGCAGGGACCCTGCTTGGGCTTCATTCTCTCTCTCTCTCTCTCTCTCTCTCTATCTGCCCTTCTAGTGCTTGTGCTCTCTCTCTCTCTCTCAAAATAAATATATAGACATTAAAAAAAAAAAAAAAAAGCTTTTTTCTGAATTAAAAGTTGGGGAAGGGGCACCCGGTTGGCTCAGGCAAGCATCTGACTTCAGCTCAGGTCGTGATCTCCTGGTTTCTGAGTTGCAGCCCCGCACTGGGCTCTCTGCTGTCAGCACAGTGCTCCCTTGGGATCCTCTGTTCCGCCCCGCCCTCCCCAGCTTGTACTCTCTCCGTTTCTCTCAAAAATAAATTAACATTAAAAAACAATACAAGTAAATTTTGGGGAGCATGAGATAATAAAAAAATGTATGTTTGGTCTCTGAGCCCAATCCCTGCCAGTGTCCCTCAGACCCTTATAATTTCCTAAGGGACAGAAGTTCTGGGAACAACTTTTGTTTTAATATTTGGTCTTTGACTCAGGTTCCTGACAGACAGCTCCTAAGTCCCTTGGAATTTCCTGGGTCTTTGGTTCTAATGATGACTGGTGGGCTCCTGGGGAGCTTCAGGATGGGGGCTGGTCACCAGAAGGATCAGGGATGGTTAGAACCTTTGAACTTTCAGCCCCACACTGCATTCTCCAATGAGAGGATGGTGAGAAGCTGAAGATTGAGTTATGATCGATCATGTCTACGTGATGAAGTCTCCATTAAAAAAAAAATCCTGGGGCGCCTAGGTGGCTCAGTCGGTTAAGTGTCCGACTTCGGCTCAGCTCATGATCTCGAGGTTTGTGGGTTCGAGCCCCGCATCGGGCTCTGTGCTGACAGCCAGCTCATAGCCTGGAGCCTCCTTCAGATTCTGTGTCTCTCTCTCTCTCTGACCTTCTGCCTGCTCACGCTCTCTCTCTCTCTCTCTCAGAAAAAAAAAATTAAAGAATAAATTTAAATACATTTTTAAAAATCCCTAAAATACAAGGTTTGGGGGAACTTCTGGGTTGGCAAAGACATCTACATGGATACATCACCCTAACTCCATGGGGATGGCAGCTCCTGCACTTGTGACCCTTCTGGACCTTGCCCTGTGCCATCCAGCTGTTCATCTGTGTCTTTACATATCATTTATTATATAACAAACCAGTAAACATAAAGTTTTGTGAGCTCTTACAGCAAATTACTGAATCTGAGAAGGGGGCTTTGGGAATTTCCAATTTATAGCCAGTCGGCCAGAAGCACAGGTGATACCTGGGACTTGCTAGTGGCATCTGATGGGGGGGGGGGGGGGGAATCTCATGGGACGGAGTCCTTAACCTGTGGAATCTGCACTGACTCCGGGTGGTGCCAGAATTGAACTGAATTCCAGCACACCTGGTTGGTGACCGCAGAAGACCACAGACTTAGGTGTCGCAGAAAACCCACACGTTTGGTGTCAGAAGCGTTCTGTGGGCAGAGGAAAGAGTTTTCCCTTTTAGGTGGTGTTGGAGAAGTGGGATTTGTTAGGACCGCCCAGGCTCATGGAAACGCGTGGTTTGGGAAGAGAAAGGAAGGGCAGGGACCAGGAACCTTTGATTCTCGAGTAGGCAAGCAGCCACGTGGCGGCGGCTGTGGCGTACTGAGTTACTCATGGTAGAAGTTACCCGTGGAATTTAGAGCTGACTCCAGCTCTTGGCGACTTGGTTTACTGGACACGTAAGGAAATGCGGAAAAAACCCCACAGAGACCTTCCCTTGGCTGCGAGTTTATCTGTAATGGCGAGAATGAATCACCCGAGAGCTAGGTGGGAAGGTGAGGCAAGACCAAGCTCGGGTTTCGGTGAGTCTGAGCTGCTGCCGCTAGCCTCACAGCCGCCTCCAAAGGAAAACATTGTGCAGAGTCACTAGAAAGTCCTTCTAAGGCCTCTGGTCACCAAGGAGGTAGCCAGGAGGGGTTAAGGAAGGGAAGTCAGGAACTGGGGAACCATGGACACCAGGGAGCAGAGTGGGAAGGAGGTGTTTCATTTTGGGGATAGGTGTCCTCAGCTTCCTGAAATGTTAACTGGGAATCCAGGTGAAGGACGTGTGGATGCTTATTGTGCTGTTCTTGCACTTTTTGTGTTGGTTTACAACTTTTCTGGGGGCGCCTGGGTGGCTCAGTTGGTTAAGTGTCCGACTCTTGGTTTGGGCTCAGGTCATGATCTCCCTGTTGATGAGATCAAGCCCTGTGTGGGGCAGCACAGAACCTGCTTGGGATTCTCTCTCTCTCTCTCTCTCTCTCAAAATAAATAAATAACACATTTTTCTAAAAACCCAAACTTTTTTCTGAATTAAAAGTTGGGGAAGGGGCACCTGGCTGGCTCAGTCAGTGGAGCATACCACTCTTGATCTCAGAGTGGTGAGTTTGAGCCCCATGTTGGGTGTAGAGATTCCTCAAAAATAACATCTTTAGAATAAAATTAAAATCGGGGCACCTGGGTGGGTCAGTGGGTTAAGCGTCCAGCTCTTGATTTCGGCTCAGGTCATGATCTCACAGCTGGTGAGTTCGGGCTCCACATCAGGCTCCGTGCTGACAGTACAGAGTCAGTTTGGGATTCTCTCTTTCCCTCTCTCTCTCTGCCCCTCCCCCTCTCACTGTCTCTCAGAAATAAATAAAACTTAAAAAATTAAAATTAAAAAGTTGGCGGAAACAGCCCCAACAAGTTCTTCCCATCTTTCTGCTCTGTCCCTTGAAGCGGAGAAGTATGTTGGATCAGTCTCATGATCACAGAATGGCTGCAACAACTTCCACCCCCAAAGCCCAGATGAGTGCTTCCCTCCTCCACCCATGTTCTTTTCAAAACACTTATTTTTGAGAGGGAGACAGAGGATCTGAAGCAGGCTCTAAGCGGACAGCAGAGAGCCGGACATGGGGCTCAGGAACCCTGAGATCATGACCTGAGCCAAAGTCTGATGCTTAACCAACTGAGCCACCCAGGCAGGACCTACTGTGTACTTCTTTAAAAGTGGGGCAAACATTCCCAGGATCTCCCGAGAGACCGCCCCTCGTGTCTTATTGGTTAGAAGTGTCCACGAGCCCACGGCTAAATCAATCACTGGATAGAGGGCGCGGGGGGGAGGGGGGGAGGGGCATCAAATAACCATGATTGGCTTAGATTCACGCTTTAAACCAATCAAGAGTCACTTCCTGGGACAGGGATGCCTCTTCCCTTCTGATAGGTTACCTATCACCTTGTGCTCACTCAAGGAAATTGGATTTCTGTCCACAAGGACCATGGCGGGTAGCTCCTAGGTCCAAGGGCGGGGCCGGGGAGGTGGGTGCTCCTTGGGGGCGTGGGGGGTGGCACATGCCCCAGGCTGGCCAGGAGCTCTGCTCTAGCCCCTTGGGCGCAGGTTCTGAGACGGGCATGGGCATGTGGCCTCAGCCAGGTTCTGAGACGGGCATGGGCATGTGGCCTCAGCCAGGCCGGGGAGAATCTGCCCCGGGGTGTGGGTGGGATGAGCAGTACAGCTAACAGGGATGCACCCGGAGAGGGCTGGAGCACCCCGCGGGGGCAGCCAGTTAACTTCCTTGTGCCTTAGCCTGGCTGAGCTGAGCTCCTGTCACGGCCAGAAGTCTCCGCGAGGGAAAATAGGCTCATGATGGCAGCCAGGCTCAGTCAGCACTTTCTCTTCCCCAGAAGAACCACACTGGAGAGCATCGCCCAGGCCTTGCCGTCCCACCCCCTCGCTTCACACAGGAGGAAACAGGCTGAGTAGGAAGGCCTCGTGCAAACTCGTGACGAGTAAATCAGTGACAGTCAGGTCTGGAGCAGTCGTGACATCTCCCCACCGGCAGCCCGGCAGCCCGTCGGGCGAGCTCACCCAGGGGCAGTCACAACGACTCCCGGGTGGGAGGAGTGTCTGAAGGTGGGCGGGGTGGGGGTGCAGCATCTCACTCGAGCGCCACCCTCCCCCCCAGCCAGGGCCTCCTTCCCCTTGGGTCTCTGCAGAGAGGGCGCTGTGGCTCCCTGGAATCAGCTAACACGAGTTCAAAGCCTGCCTTAGGCGATTATGCCTTCTAGCCGTGTGCCGTTGTGGAGGTTAACACCGCATTTCTGATCCTCATTCCCCAAGAGACAAAATGGGATGAGTAATACAAGTCTGGTGAGTTTCCTGAAGGACTGAAACAAATCAGTGTGTAAAGACCCAGAGAGGCATCAAGTGCTACTGGGTTAAGGTAGGACTGTGCACAGATATCGTTCTGTGGGGGCGCCTGGGTGGCTCTGTGGGTTAAGCAGCTGCCTCTTGGTTTCATTTTGGCTCAGGTCATGACCTCATAGTCTGTGAGTTCGAGCCCTATGGCAGGCTCTGTGCTGGCAGCACAAACCCTGCTTGGGATTCCCCTCTCCCCCTTCCTCAAAAAAAATCAGTATATAAACAAGAAAGGAGAAACTGCTCTGGGACCGGGGTGCGTCATCTCTCGCAGAGGAAGGTTGCAGTGGCCCAGTTCTGTGGACCCAGCTCAGGCAGGGGGTCCTCCTCCCACCCTGCCCCACACAGCCTTGAAGCCACACAGACTCTCCCACGCGCACTTTATTAAGTACGGGAGGGCCGGTTACAACAGAGGTGGGAGTGGTGGGAAGGCCCAGCCCCCACCCCCACCATCACTGGCACACGATCATAAATAAATAAAGAATAAATAAATAGCTGGGGGCGGGCACAGGGACAGGTGGCACAGCAAACACTCACAGAATGGGGAGGGACACAAAAGCCCCCCACCCCCTGAGCTGTGACCACCATCAGCGCTGGACTGATACCAGTACTGTGATCAGGGAAGGGTGGGGCTCTGGGCTAGGAAGCCCCCAGAGCCACTGAGCGGCCCCCTGGATCACAACATCTGTGGAGGAGGGGTGGGTGACTTCAGCATTTGGACACTTATGGACAGGAATCCGGACCCCTCGCTAGTCTAGTCAGATCCAGATCATCGAGAGGCCCCTCTCTCTCAGACTTCTGGACTGTTCGCATCAGGATCTAAGGGACCAGTGAGTCTTTATTACCTTGTGTTCCGACTGGTCTACTCAGGACCTAGGACACGAAAGAGTCACTGTTACTTAGGGTCCCAATTAAACCCCTCAGGACTCATCAGTGAGTCCCTCTCACTTAGCCTTCTGACAGGTCCATCCGGGGCTCGGGACTATGACAGCTGGAGGTTACCTAGACCTCCGATCGGTCAGCAGGAACTGAAGGCCAGCACTGGAATGGGAGGTGGGGCTCTAGAGGCCCCAAGGAAAGGGGGCGGGGGATTAAGTGCTCGGGGAAAATCTTCACTGGGTGTCAAGGCCCAGAGTTCAAAGACGGGAAGTCACAAGGCAGGAGATATAAGGCCACCTTGGCTGGGTCAGGCCAGGGCCAACTGGTATGGGCAGGGGGACACCTTCTGGAACAGCAAAGAGTGGCCAGCCACCACCGGGAGGGGAGGGCCCTGAACCCTTCCCTGGCTCCCCAATGCCACCAGGCTGTGGGAAACGGGGCCAGGGGGCTGGCGGCTTCTTGGCCCCTGGCCTCCATCCACAGGACCAGGGTGGAGCGCTGCGGCTGCCGGTCAGGTGGGCTCAGTCCTCCAACCCCTCCATCAAGTCCGCGATGCTCTCCACGTAGTAATGGGGCACGAGGTCGTGCTGGCCAGACGCCAGGTAGGCCTGGGCCTCCTCCAGGCGGGAGACGCCTGTGAGGGTGAGCACGGTGGTCATGCCACAGCGGTGGCCGAAGAGGATGTCGGTCTCCAGCCGGTCACCCACCATGAGCGTGCGCGCGGGGTCCACGCTGAAGTGCTCGGTGATGCACTGGAACATGTAAGGGCTGGGCTTGCCCACCACCAGGGCCTGACGACCCGAGGCTGTCTCCACCGCAGCAGCCAGGCTCCCGGTGCCTGCAGGGAGACGGACACGTGGTCAGTGCGGAGTGGCGGCAGGGAAGGCCATGGGGGCCCGGAAACGCAATTCCAGGGAGGCAGCCTGGCACAGGTGTTAAATTAGGCACGGAAATGAGTCCCAGAGTTCTGAGCCTTAGTGTCGTGGTTAGGAGCACAGACTGCAACCGGACGCCTGGGTTTGGACTCCCAGAATCTTCACCCTTCTCAGGAAGGCCATTTAACCTCCCTGTGCCTCAGTTTCCCCGTCCCTCAAACGGCACGGTAGGGGCTGAATGAGCCACTGCGTGTAGCTGGGCCTGGCTCAGTCAGTCCCGTCTGAGGGTTGCTGGTTTAGCCCGGCAGCTGTGTGCCTTTGGGCAAGCCACATGACCTCTCTGAGTGCCCTCGGACTCGCTGGAAAAGGAGGGTCCAAGTAATGCCTGCCTTCAAGAGGACATCGCAGGGGCAAGTGGCTTGGAAACCGAAAAGCACTTAATAAACAGCAGTGTGGTTACCGCTACAGGAATGTGGGCTCCCGGCACCAGAAACTGGCACGGCCCTTTCTGGAACGCAGCAGGGCACGGAAACGTTCGCACCTCTGCCCCAGTCGGCCTTGGCTGGGAGAGCGATTCCAGGGACAGAAGTTCAAAGTGGAGACAGAAAGTTACATGCTTGAAGATGTCCGTGGCCCCAGTAACTATAATAATCAAAACTGCGGACGCGCCCACATATTTAACAATGGGAGGACTGTTTAGGAAAGGGCAGTCCTGACTCCCGGCCCGGTACCATCCTGCCCCGCACAATGAGCCCACTGTGCCCGTCCCACAGGCACATCTTTGTGCCAGACGGTTCTGCCTTCACATGGACGTCCCTGAACAAACGAGGACAAAGATCAGAATTTACTGAGCACATTCTAAAGTGCCGGGCGCTCATGGAGGCCCATTTCACGGATGAGAAGGCTGGTGCTGTGCCACTGAGTTAACTTGTCCCGGGCTGCGCAGCTTAACAATCGGCCAGGGGTACGCGTTCTGTGGGTCTGACCCCGTCATGTGCCGGGCCAGCTTGTACTGGCTTGGGAGGGCCGAGTGGTTCGTTCTCGGGAATTCTGTGAGCTGCCTGTTAAAGCCGCTGTGAAAAGTCACCGGATCTAAATTCCCAGTCCAATGAATCGTTTAAGACACAGGTACGAAATTCTCCAAACGCATTTCTTCCTAATTATTTTTAGCATTCTCTGCGCTCTTGAGATCGCTGACATCTGTCGTGACGAAATGCTATATCACGGTGTGCACACATCTTCCCAGCCCCACAGTCAGTGACATTGGTAGCTTGAAATTGGCTGTGGTGGGAAGTATCTGAGCCACGGAAATTGGGGAATGGTTTAAATCAAATTATGGCATAATAATTTATGGTATAATTTATGGCATAACAGCATATGGTATACTAATATCAATGGTATAAATCAGCCCCCCCCCCCAGTTATTAAACAATCGTCAGGACTCCACGGGGCCGACCCCAAATGCTCTGAGCCTCTCTCCCTTCACAGAGGATGACACTCCGAGCAGTTAAGCCAAAGAATTCGCTTGCTTTCTTGAGAGCTGGGCAGGGAAGAAAGGCCATTTGCCCCCTTGGTTAGCAATTCCTTCCGGGATGGGAAAGGGACTCAAATGAGTCCCCCCCAGAGTGTTCTTTTCTGCTTAAGATGGGTCTCGGGTGTCAGCAATGTCCCCTCCCACCAGGACAGGGCTGATCGCCCTTAACCACCCCCCCATCCCACTATTTATCCATTCAGCCAATATTTACCGAGGCCCACCTATCCACCAGCCTAGCCAGGCACTGGGCATAGGGCAGCCAACGCAGCAAGGATCCCTACCGTAGGGGAGGGAGCGTCCTAGCAGGGACAACGTGAACGGAGAGCTCTGTCCTCAGACAACCATTGTCCCACTTCATTTCACATCCTGTCATCCAAGGCTGTCACGTGTCTTAGTGGTGACATACCCCTGAGACAGCAGGCATTGCTATATGCCAGTGCAAGCGGCTGCCATGTGGTAAGAAGGTAAACACACATTTTGGAGACCCACAAGGGAAGGGGAGGAGGAAGGGGGGAGGGGGGACTTGCGTTATTTCAGATTTTACGCCTGACGGGGCCTTTATTAATATGTTTATACCACTGTTGTGTTCAGTTTGGTACAAACTCGCCAGTGGCATTATAGTTAAGCCTCTGCTTCCCCCTCTAGGTTGTGGGAACGATCAACAGGGCCAGTGACACACCACCCTTCCTGAGTCCTAGAGCGCCCCTTAGCCCAGTCTGCACCTGAACTTTGAGCCTCCAGGGAGAAACTCACTTTTCTTCTTTTTAAATTTTTAAATGTTTTCTGTTTATTTCTGACAGAGAGAGACAGCGTGAACAGGGGAGGGTCAGAGAGAGAGGGAGACACAGAATCTGAAACAGGCTCCAGGCTTTGAGCTAGCTGTCAGCACAGAGCCCAACGCGGGGCTAGAACCCACGAACCGTGAGATCAGGAACTGAGCCGAAGTCGGACGCTTAACCGACTGAGCCACCCAGGCGCCCCACAACTCACTTTTCATAGCATGGCCCAGGTGGTCAGCTAGGAGGGAATGATGGAGAGCTGTCTCCACCTTCAGTCTACTGCCTTGGGTAGTGACCTGTCCACCACACACCCTCACCACTGTCAGCTTCTGCTACCATCTGCTCTGGGCTGATTCAAACCCTCCAAAATGTGCAAGCCTCCACCTGCACACCTCCACCTCCTCCTCCTCCTCCAAAGGCCTGAATAAACAGAAGACAGTAGTAAACAGTGCCTTGGATGGGGGTGGGCTGGGGGGCGGGGTGGCCACAAGAGCCAAGTTCAGGTCTTCCAGTTCTTGGCCAGCTCACTTCCCCTCTCTTAGCCTCAGTTTCTTTAACTGAGAAATGGGACAGTTAACTCCCATCCCCAAAGTAATTTAGAAACTACGTAAGAACAAACAGCAAGGCGCTTCATAAACTCTGGGCTAGCAGAAGAGGGAGAGCTCTGGATACAACCCACCCCATCTGAGGACCTACTATGTGCCAAGCACTCACTCTGACCACTCTCCCTCGGAGGACACTGGCATGATCAGCATTCCCATTCTACCCCCAGGGCAGGGATGCTCCGAGGTTATGTAATTTAAGATTACAGAGCCCTGAGTCAAACTCCGTCCACCTCTAATGCTCCCCCGACACCCGCCTACAATCTGCTGCTGCCAAAGGCGTCCCAGCTACCCAACGGGGGGATGATCCTTCCAGGCTTTGTTCCCAACTCTCCGGCCTCATCTTGATGGCGGGTGGGACAAAATGACAGGAGTCCCTGAGGCTGGTTCAGTGGGGCTAGGGCTGGGGGTCGAGGGCCTGGATTCCACCCGTAACCCCCCAAACCTCAATGGGCCTCAGTTTCCTCATCTGTCAAGCGGAGGCCCTGCTACTGCCCTCCCCCTCCACGCCCCGAGTGGTGGTCGTCTCAAGAATTATCAGGCCATAAAGAAGCTCTCCTGGGCTCCCGCAGGGCGGACACCGCCCTCGCATCCCTCTGGTTTCCTCTGTCACCCAGAGACACCCCTTCCTCACCCCCTGCCATCGGCGCGGAGGTGAGCGCGCAGGTCGCCACCCGGCCTGTTTCCCCCCCCCCCCCGGCCCCCGCCAGACCCGCGCGCTCACCGGGGGTCCGGCTGCCATCGCTGAGCGGGTGCCACGGGTCGCGGTCGGTGGCCACGAGCAGGCAGTCGGGGTCGCGCAGGTGCGCGCACGCCTCGCTCAGCTTGGCGAAGGAGAAGTGCTCGTCGTAACCCACGAGCACGGCGCGCACGCGCGGGGCCGCGCCCGGGTCCTCGCCGGGGTCCCCCGCCAGGCGCAGCCCCGCGGCGCGCAGCTCGGCGCGCAGCCCCTCGCCGCCCAGCACGAACACGGCGCCCGGCACTTCCGGCGGCCCGAGCAGGCGCTGGCGCAGCAAGCGCGCGGCGCACAGCGCGGAGCTGAATAGCTGCTCGGCGCGCAGCCCCCCGAAGCCGAGGCGCGCGAAGCGGAGAGCCAGCTCGGGCCGCGCGCGCCGGCTGTTGTTGCTCACGAACAGCGCCGCCTTGCCGGCCCGCGCCAGCCGCTCCAGCAGCTCCGGGGCGCCCGGCACGGCGCGCTCGCCGTTCCACAGCACCCCGTCGCAGTCGAACAGGACCCCCTGCGTCCGGCCCAGCACGTCGCGCAGGGCCGCGCCGCGCAGCCGCTCGCAGCGCGCCATGCAGCCGGCCGGCCGCCCGCACGCCCGCACGCCCGCACGCCGCGCGGCTCTCCCGCGGCGGGCACGGCGCGCTCGTCCGCAGCCCGCCCCGTTCCCCCGCAGCCGCCAATCGGCGCGCGGGAAGGGCCAGAGGGCGGAGTCGCGGCCTGGCCCGCGGACCAATGGGGGCAAGGACCTCGGAGAGGAGCGAGGCCCCGAGCTAAAGGAGCCTGGAGAATAGGGTGAACCGCGGCCGCGGCCGAGGTGAGGGGACCAATGAAGGCCCAGCCTGGTCCTTCGCCTCGGCCCCCAGCTCTGCTAGGTCAGTTGCCGCCAACTTTCAACCCCGACTGGCCTTTTAAAGGATAGACTGACGTTCTTCTTGGCCAATAAAGAGTTACGAATAGAAAATCTGGAGCGGAGAACCGCTCTTCCGCTCCCCAGCCAATCAGAAGCTTAAGACTGCCGGTTGCTAGGAGGAAACCAGATGCTAAGGGAGATGTTGCCTTTGGGTCAGAACTCCTCGCCCTCTGAACTATGGACGCTCCGGTTCTGAGCAAAGTCCTGCGGAGCGCGTGGGTATGAGAGGAGAGGGGCGCTTAGTGTCTTCTCGAGCGCTGGGGCCCTTGGCCTAGACCGGTCGTTCGCGACGCTGGCTTGTAGAGTCCCCTGGGGAACATGTATTTTGAGATTTAATTTACATACAAGTAAGATGTGCAGCTCTTACATGTACAGCTCGGTGACTTTGACAAGTGCTTTTTAAAAATACCACAGCGAGGCAGCACCCCAGAGATCCTGACTTAATTGGGTGGTGGGGCCCGAGACATTTTTTTTTTATTTTTGCGGTTTTTGTTTTTTTTTTTTAATGACATCGGGGTCGTACTGCGAGACCAGGATGGAGAGACACTGCTCACCAGGCTGCTAGAGGCAGCCTGTCATTGAGCACCCTGGGAAGGAGCCAGAGCCACAGTAGCCAGTTGCTCGGGGCAGCGATGGTTTGACTTAGCTGCCTAGGTCCCCAACTGGGGGAGGCACGTGTCAAAATTCCAAGCTGTCTGCCGACCTCTGAGAAGGCTCTGCAGACCCGACCTCCAGGAGCCACGGGAGCTCCAAAGACCTGGGAAAAGCCACACCCTGTCAACCCTCTCTGAGGGTCAGATAATTTCTGTTTCCCACGGCCCTGGCCTTTTGATCCGGTCTTAGGTGGTCTCCTTGGCTTGGAATGTTCTTCCTTCTCCCCTGACTTTTTCACCTGGTCGACTCCTAAAAGACCCCTCTTTAATCCCCTCTTCCACGAAGCCTTCCTGTGGCCTCCACACACAAACACATGAGGATGGGTTAGAGGGTCACCCCCTAACTAGTTTAACATGGGCTCCCAGTGCCATTACACTTGATTCTGATCGTCAGCTCTCCTGCCTGTCTGTTATGGGGAGCTCCTTGGGTGTGGGCTGAGTCGGGGGCGTGGCTCCGGGTGCAGCACCAGCGGCCTCTGTGGTTTGCAGGCAGATCCATCCCTGCTCTGTGAGGGAGCCTTTCCTGCCTAGTCTGAAAACACCAGGGGTTGGGGGGCTTGGCATCCACAGCAGCCAATGCTTTTAAGGCCCTTCTGTGTGCAAGGGTGATACTTTGGTCTTTACAGGAATGTCCCGTTTAATCCCCAGAACAGCGCTCCTGGGGGTGGAAATTGCTGTACTGTTTCCCGGATAGGGAAACTGGAACCCCAGGAAGTTAAGTGATCAGGATGCGAGGGGACGGGCCCAGAACCCGCGTCCTCATTCCACCTCCATACCTCGCTGGCTGTGTGTCTGGCAGGTCACTCTCTGAGCCTCAGTCTCCTCAACCTGTGAAAGGTAATAGGATTCACTTCCCTGGGAGAGGATTCGATGGAAACCATGCACGGAAAAGCACAGTATAGCCCAGAATGAGAGCTCAGAACGCGGGCTCTTATTATTTCAGACGGGAAGAGAAAGAAAGGAGGCAAAGAACAGGAAATATCTTCCCCTTTATGAAAGTGGCTTCTTTATTTAGAGGGCAGGAAAACAAAACAAAACTAAAAAACCCAACTATCGTTTGGGCAGCTGCTCCAGTTTTGTCCAAAATAATTTATTTACCAGCCTTACAAAATATATGTTGGCAAGAGAAAAATAAAAGTTCTGTCGGAGCAGGCAGACCCCTCCTTCCTCCCGGCGGCTCCCCTGGGACCCTGCCAGAGGGCTGGGAGTCGGGTGAGGGGCCCCCAAGCCCAGTGTGGATTCGGGAGGAAAAGGTCTGGACGTGGAGGACTATCCGGAATCCTCCTTGCCATGGGGGCCGACCCAGCGGGCACCGAGGCACTTGTAGGCAGAGGCTGGAGGTCCCCTCCCCCCTCCCGGGAAGGGCAAGGGCGAGGGCTGCGTCCTGGGCGGACAGGTGGGAGGGAGGAGCCGCCCAGCTCAGTCGGTCTCGGAGGCGAGGCTCCGGGGCCGGGGTTGAGGGGGGATGGCCGGGGGAGTGGAGGCCCCGCCCACAACCTCAGGGGCCCCGCCCTCCTCTGTGGCCCCGCCCAGGTCCACCTGCACAGGAGCGTTCAGAGAGACAGCGCTGGGGGAGGCCGGTCCCGGGGAGGCTGGGGAACGCCAGCTCTGGCGTCGGGCGGGCTGAGGGGGGTTGGGGGGCAACGGGGGTGGCACCGTGGGGGCCCGGAGGCTGCTGCCTACCAGACGGCGGGGCAGAGCCTGGGGGGTCACAGGGCTGCCAGAGCCAGGGGGCAGGGCTGGGGCTGGAGGGGAGGAGCGCGTGCTGGAGACCTGGGGGGGCGGCATGGTGGGCCGGGCTGGCGCTGGACGCTTCGCTGTGGAGGAAGGACAGGGGCAGTTAGGCATCCACACTGCCTGCGGCACATCCCCCAGGCTCTATGCCACCTCAGGACCTTTGTATCTGCCATTCCTTCTGCGGGGAGCACGGTTTCCACCGCCCGCTACTCATCACCTAGGGCTCTCTCTGTGTCCCTTCACCCCCTGGGCTAGAACCCCGTCCTCTGCCCTGCTTCAGTTACTGTTATATTTTCCTGTTGTATTTTCTGCGCGGGACCTGCTGCCCTCCGTCCGAAATGACCATGTCCGTTTTTATTTTGCTCGACTCCCTGGCTGGAACGTAAAAGGGAGGCCATCCCGAGCGGGGTTGGCTCACCCAGTGCTGGGCACAGATTAGGGTCTCTCTCACCTCTCAGGAGCCACCAGAGCCGCCCACCCGGGTTTTCAGAGGTCCTGCTGCCCCATTCTGATCACATGAGGCGGTTGACGCTGATCGTAGCCCTGCCTCCACCCACTGTGGGCTTTGGGCAAATCACCTGCCCCCTTGCGGCCTCAGTTTCCTCACTGTTAAGATGGGATGAAAGCCTGGACCTCCCAGTGCTGACACAAAGACCTCCAGGGACTGGAGGTGCTGTGCTCTGGCGAACACACATCCCAGTTGTCCCCATCCAGGAAGGGTGGCTGGACACCTCCTCCAGGAAGGTCCCTGTGTGACCTGTCCACCCGTGCTGGTCCAGAGGGTCCTGGAGCTGCTCCCGCTACTACGGGCTCTACCCTGTACCCCCGGGGAGGAAACTCCAGGGCCTCCTTGGCTGGCGGGGCCCCTCCCAAGTGTCCTGACCACTGGCAGTGACTCCTCCTCTGAACCTGTGCCTTGTCACCTGCTGGGCTTTAGGCCAAGTCAACAGGTGAGTGCACTAAAGGGACTCAGAGGAGCCCGGAGTTTGTCTCCACCACCAGCCCACCAGCCCTTTGAAGCCTCCACTCCATCTCTTCCCTCTGATCTCTGGACTTCTTGAGGGGCTAGACTCCACAGCCTCCTGATGCTAACCTTTATCAAGCGCTTACGGGGTGCCGGCTACCTGCCAGGCAACACCATTTAATTTGCCCAGCAGCCCTGCAAGGTAGGTGTGCTTATTGTTTTATTACTCAGAGGAGGACGCTGAGGGGGCAGACAGGTGAGGTCACCTGCCCAAGGTCATAGTACTGGAATCTGAACCCAGAGCGTCAGGCAGCAAACCTAGGCTCCTAGCCACTTGGAGTCCTGGCCTCCCCCGCTGTCTGAAAACAGGACAAGGTCTGATTGCCCAGCCCCCCAACCCTCCTCCCCCCACCCCACCCCGCCCAGCTTACTTTTCCGAGCCATGTCCTCCACTGGAGTGGCTGTCTCCGAGGGGCTCCTGCTGACCTTGGGAGAGGCTGGTCTGGGGGGCACCTCAGACTCTGTCCTGTGAAAGAAGGCGAGGGTCAGGGTCAGACTTGGCCATCTCCCAGGAGTCTGGAATCTTGGGGAGACTCCCAAGGCAATAGGCTGAGTTTGGACCCTCCCAGGACCTGTTCCCTGCTCCTTGTAACCGGGTCTGGGATCTGTCCCCCCACCGCCCCCAAGAAGATGCTTCTGGCATTGGCCAGAGTTTGTGTCCACTGAGCCCCTGGCTTCCGTGTGACACTGTGACAGTGGGTCCCCATGGGCCAGGATGGCAGGCAGAAAGCAGGGCATTGGCTCTCAGCCTCCACGTGACCTTCACTGAAGGTTCCAGCCACTAGAAGCCAGAGAACGGATGAGAAGCAGAAGGGGAGGCCGTGGCTCCTTCCTGGTTTCCTCCAGGCCTCTGCTCAGCTGGCTCTTCCTCAGAGAGGCTTTCCTGATCCCCGGGCTAGAGCAGCTCCCCCTTCCTTCCCCCTAACCTGCTCTCTTCTCCTATAAGGGCACGTGTCACCGCCTGACGTGACAGTCCCCATTTATCGGTGGACTTGTCAGCTCTCTCTCCCCGGCCCTAGGAAAGCAAGCTCTAAGGGCAGCATCTGTCTGGTTTGCTCATCTGAGGGAGGTCACGGTTCATGCCCTGGCTGTGGGATGAGGGAATAATGCCTGCTTGGTATGGAAACAACATGGAACCACAGAGATCTGAAGATCAGAGAGAAGACTGGGAGGTATTTACCAATTCCAGCTGACCCGCTCCCTAGCTCCCTAAGTCCCCAGCGCCTGAAACAGCGCCTGGCACATAGTAGGTGCTCAGTAAACAGCCATACGATGGAGCGAGGGGACACACCAGAGGCCGAGAGGAATACAGCCCCGCAGTACCCACGCCATCCACTCCAAATGGGGAATCCTGGCATTTGGGCTGGAAAATACAGTAATTACATTTCCTAAGATGCCGCCGGAAGCCCAGAGATACGGCCTCTAGCTGGACATCTTGGGGCAGAGATGGGCCTCCTTCATTTCCGTCAGTCCTTACCTTTCCTTGGCAGCTGGTGAGGCCGGGGCAGGGGCTGGTGAGGGCACAGCTATCGTTTGAAGCCCCTCAGAGGCTGGCCTGCTGCTGACCTTGTCCTGGGGGCCAGGGGCCGAGAACAGGCCTGACACATTGAAGTTGACGTCTGCAGACAGAAGGAAACAGGTTGTGGCTCCCAGAACCTCCACCAGCCTTCCTGCCTCAGCCAGGGTGGGGGCCGCTTTCCTCCCCCCCACCCCCCGACATCATCTGGACCACATATCACCTCCCCACTCCCACGTGAGCCTCACAACAACCCCACGAGGCAGGCAGGGTCATCCCCGTTTTACAGATGAGCCCGTGAGGCTCAGAGCAGAGAAGCACTTTGCTCCAGGCCTCGTAATGATGCCGCCAGGGACCGAAGGTGAGTCTGGAGGGCACCCAGCTGGGCAGGTGAGGGCACTAAGGGACCCGTTCACGAAGACAGGAGCTTCACCTCCAGGGAAGAGGGTGTCCGCGTTCTGTATCAGAGCCTCGACCACGCCCACCACCTGGATGGAGGACACGGAGGCCGCATCGAGCTGGGCCTGGTCCCTGGGGCAAAAAGGAGCGGAAGTGAGCCACCCTTTGTGCAAACTCTTAGCGGCCCCAACTCTGTGTGGCCCCAGAACAGTGCCTGTTCCCAGAAAGCTCGGTGACCCCCCAGTGGATGGCAACCAGGTCGCCCACTCGCCAAAGGTTCCCCCTCCTTCACCCCCAACAGGTGTCACTCGTCAGAGATGGTCCCCTTTTCCCCATAGTTCTCGGATCTAGGCTGTCTCTTCCAAGTACCTGTCCTCAGCCAAGGAATGACAGCTTTTTGCCATCACAGCCATGTGACTTATAATGACCCCTCATGTTGCACGGCTCTTTACAGTTCATAACACATTTCTCCATTTTCTCATCTAATCCCCCCGGCAAAACCCCTCGGAGTTTGTATCATTTCTCTCCAATTTACAGGTGAAGAAATGGAGCTCCAGAGAGTGAGCTCCCAAAGGCATTTCTGGAAGGCTAAGGGTGGGGCTAGAACTAAATCTCTGGGCTCCCAGCGCTCCAGGCACCCCGCCTCCCACCATTATCACCCAGAATGCCTATCTCCAAAGCCCCATAGGGTCCTTGCTGCCTTCAGCATTCAGCAGCCTTGAGAATAGGAGCTGCTAGACCCACTCCAGAGATGGGGAAAACTGAGGCCCAGGGGGAAAAAAGAAGCAGCAGGTGGCTGGGGCGGGGAATGCCCCCTTCCACCACCTGTGGCCCCTCACCCTTCTTTCTCGGGAGGCCAGAGCAGGTTGGGACCCAGGACGATGGCAATGTTGCTGGGCGTCATCTTATTCACCTCCTGCTCCTCGGCCAGCCGTGCCAGGAACTTCATCAGGTACCTGGGGACGCAGAAGGTGGGCTTGGCCAGGGACAGGGCATCTTGGGCCCATGAACACCTATTGATGCCCCCGAAGGCTGAGAATTTCTCACCCTGGGGTTTCCAAAGCATGGCAATGGTACCCCACAGAATGGTTTAAACAATTAAAAAAAAATTTTTTTTAAATGCTTTATTTATTTCTAGGAGAGAGAGAAAGAGACAGTGTGAGCAGGGGAGGGTCAGAGAGAGAGAGAGTCAGACTGAAACAGGCTCCAGGCTCTGAGCTGGCAGTCAGCACAGAGCCCGAAGCGGGGCTCGAACCCACGAACTGCGAGATCATGACCTAAGTGAAAGTCGGACGCTTAACCGACTAAGCCACCCAGACGCCCCTAAAAAACATTTTTTTTTAATGCGTATTTATTTTTGAGAGAGAGACACACACAGCCTGCGAGTGGGGGAGGGGCAGAGAGAGAGGGAGANATTATTTTTTTAAGTGTATTTACTTATTTTGAGAGAGAGTGCATGCAAGCAGGGGAGGGGCAGAGAGAAAGAGAGAGAATCCCAAGTAGGCTCCAGACTGTCAGTGCAGCGCCCAACTCTGGGCTCAATCTTATGAACTCTGAGATCATGACCCAGGCTGAAATCAGAAGTCGGAGGCTTAACCGACTGAGCCACTCAGGCAGCCCTAAACGATTATTTTTTAATGTTTTATTTATTTACTTTTAGAGAAACAGAGCACAAGCAGGGGAGGGGCAGAGAGAGAGGAAGAGAGAGAGTCCCAAGCAGGCTCCGAGCTGCCAGCACAGAGCCTGACACTGGGCTCAATCCCATGAACCATGAGATCATGACCTGAGCTGAGATCAAGAGTCAGACGCTCCCCCGACTGAGCCACCCAGGTGCCCCCAAACATGTTTGTTTTAAGAGTTAAATGAGCTCACCTGCTGAGTGCCATGTATGTGACAGGCACTGGGCTAAGCTGAGAATCTCCCAGCCACCCTGTGGGGCAGGGACTGCTCTGCTCTGCGTTTTCCAGATGAGGGCACTGAGGCACAGAGTGGTCCAGTCACCTGCCTGGGACCACACGGTGGCAGCAGAGGGAATCTGAAGCCCAGTAGCGTGGCTTCAAAGGTTCGAGGTGTGTGTTTGGCTCGATGTCTAGTGTGGAAAATAGGCCTAGAACGTCTAGTCTGTGTTTTCCGAGATAACAGCTTAGGACGAGGGGGCAGCACTGGGCTCACCTGAGGTTGTTGAGGTTATTTTGGGGCAGGCGGCTGCAGGCTTCCTGGAGGGCCTCGAGCCGGGCTCCTGGCTCCTTCAGACTGGGGGGAGAGAGACTTGGTGAGCCAGTCCAGGGCCCTGGGGCCCCAGCTCTGCAGCCCCGCCCTCCCCAGCCCCCCCACCTCACCTGGCTGCCCTCATCCAATCGTCATAGAGGTCAAAGGTCATCAGGGGCTCTGGCAGCTCCCGCAGATAGGACTTGAGGGCACCTGAAGTGGTGGTGGGTGGGGGTGTGAGCTCAGACACAGTCCCCCACGCCCCCACCTCCACCCCCGTGCCCAGCTCTTTCCATCTGTTAGGAACCAGGCTCTTGTTCATACTAACGTGTCTAGATCTGATCTTTTCTTTGGGCCATGGGCTTTTGTGAGACAGTGGTGAAGGCCGGTGGACCTGTTCCCAGAAAACTGTGCCTACACTTCAGGGGGCTCATCACGGGCCCCCCTTTAAGGACCCCTACGCCCCCCAAGGTGGCCTCTCGGCACATAATCAGCCCCTCAGGCAAACTATCACGGGAGCACTCCAGGCAGTTGCGGGAAGGGATTGGGGGGGAAGGCCCTCCTCCCGGGGCTCCTTGGGGCAGCCACCTGCCACGGCGTGGGGGTCGGAGCAGAACTCCTGCAGGCCGCGCGGGTCCGAGGCCATGGTCTGCTTGAGGCGCTTCAGCACCGAGGCCCCGGCGGCCAGACGGAAGAGCCCCTGGGGTGCGAGAGGTAACAGGCGCGGGTCAGACGGGCGGCCGGGGAGGACACCCCGGCTGGAGGCCCTGGCTCGCTCGCTGGGCCTGTGTCCCCACCCGGTCTGGTGGGCAGAGTGGGGACCACGGGGTGCACGGCTGCCCTCAACTCTCGAGGTCTGGGATTTGGCGCCAAGTGGGAGGTCCAGGAGCGGCGGGGAGACGGGGGCGTCTGGCAGGGGAGGGGCGGAAGGGAGAAAGGGGCCCGGTGGCAGCCCCGTCCAGGAGACCGAGTTGGTCTGTGAGTAGGTCCCGCCTCTAAGGGTGTGTCCTCAGGACAGGAGCCGACGGCCTGGCATCCGCAAGGTGCACAGGGCGGATGAGGGCGGCGCGGGGCAGTGATGGCACGGTGGTCCCCGGCTTCACTGCCACCTTCTCGAGTGCCACTGGGCACGCTGTCCTCTTGACCTCCGTCTCTCCTTTGCTAAATGGAGCCGGTGAAGGCCCCTTCCCCGGGATCTTGGGATAACTAAGTGGATCAAGATGTGGAAAGGATTTACGGCACAACGGCTGCCCCCCGAACATCGCTGAGAACATCACTTTGGCAACAGGAGGCTGTGGCCTCCCAGGGACCCTGTGCTCCAATGGCAGGGTTACAGCACCAGCACCGGGCAGCACAGGGGAGCTGTGGTGCACAGCAAGGGCCCCGGTGTCCCTTCCCGACCCCCGGGGCCCCACCTCTTCCTTCATGCCCTCAGAGAGCAGCATCATGACGCAGGCCTCGATGGGCAGGGCGATGTCCCGGCCCAGCTCTTGCAGATGGGTTCCCAGCGACACCCCATACACCCTGAAGAAGGGGGCAGCCGTCATCGAGGGGGAGGGTTCTGCAGGGACGAGACAGATCAGCGGCCCGGGCCTCCTCTCCCACCCCCCACCCCCCACCGAAGACATCCTCAAGGGCTACTGCTTTAGCCAATGGCACCACCACCCAGCCAAACATCCATGCCACATATCCTGAAATCACCATCTCTCAAATCCACCCACCTCCACTGTGTCCACCCCAGTCTGGGCCATCATCCCTTCCCTTCTGCCTCAAGGTCTCCTGACTCCTGTCCTGCCCCCTCTTCATTCCGCTCTCTGCACAGCAGAGTGACCCTTCAGTCACAAATCGAATCAGAACAGTTCTGCTCAGAACTCCTCCAGGGATCCCTACTGCCTCCTGGGATGGCGTGCAAGCATCTTAACAGGCCCCAGGCAGGGCTGGGGGCAGGGGTGCAGGGCCCCGCCCCGCCTCTGTCCCCACCTGCTTGGCTGTGGTTCTCCCTCAGCTCAGCCAGGGCCGCGTCCAGTGAGCTCAGAGACTTGCGATGGTAATCAGCTTGAATCTCCATGAGCTGTGGGGACAAGGGGGCAACCCCAGGGTCGGTGAGGGGGGAGGCGGAGCCTCTCCTCCCCCCCACCCCCCGAGTCCGTAAGAACACACCCCTCCCTCCCATCTCTTGAAGGGTGTGTCCGTGGTGCCTGGTGTCCGCCCCTGAGTTCCACTGGCTGGAGCCCACTCTGGGACTCACGTGGATGAAGTAGTTGGCGTATGTGTCCTCCTTGGTGGCGAAGTGGTATAGGTCGGCCAAGTACTCGTCCTTGGGGACAGAAATAGGAAGGCTCACACCCCTAGCCGAGAGGGAAGGCTGAGGCCTAGAGGGGCTCCTGACTTGTGCAAGCTGGACCCTGGCCAGCCATCCTTTGTCTGCCAAGGTTTGTACTTGGGGACAGCCCACAGGGACCCCCCTCGAACTCATATATATATATTCGTTTGTTTAGAGAGAAGGAGAGAGAGAACATGCAGGCAGGGGGCAGAGAGAGAATTCCAAGTAGGCTCTGCATGTTCAGGGCAGAGCCCGATGCAGGGCTTGAACCCATGAACCATGAGATCATGACCTGAGCTGAAATCAAGAGTCAGACACTTAACCGACTGAGTCACCCAAGCTCTTGAGAAGCTTTTAGAGCCTCTAGTCCTCATCTCTGTGCCTCATGCCCTAAGCACGGTGGCTCGTGTTATTCACCAGTCATTCATCTGCTTGCTCAGCAAACACACCAAGACCGTGGTGAGCAGATCAAGTCCCCGCCTCCCGGGAATGACGTGTACGGTGTAGACACAAGAGGCTACAAGATAGTGGCAGAGTACGCACAGCTTGGAGGCTGGTTGCCTGGATTCAAATCCCGGCTCTGTGGCTTCCTAGCTGTGTGGCCTTGGGTGAGCTACACTACCTCTCTGGGCGTAAGTTTACTCACCTCTGAAATGGGGTCAGCACCCGCCCTCGCCACTCCCTCACATCCAGGGAGCTCCAAGGGCCCGCTCACCTTGCACTGCTCCACCTTCCTCTTCAGCTCCTCCTCCTCCTCCTTCAGCGTCTCCACCTTGGTGGCGGTGGCCGTGTGGCTGTAACTGCTGGGGCCACCACCCAGGCCCTGACCGCTGCCTGAGTTCTTAGCTGCCTGAGTGAGCCTGGCAACGATTGCAAGGTGGGGTGGTCACTATCCCCACTGCGTGTCCAGAGCCAAGTGTCCCTTCTATATGCCGAACCACCCGAGATTCCAGGGTTTACGGATGAACATCCCACCCAGAGGCCCTCTTGCCTTGGGGCCTCTGCCAGGCCTGGGCCTTGAGTGCTCAGGGGCTCCCCCTGGTGGTGGGCTTGGTGATCGCGGCCACCCAGCTCGGGAGTGGAGGGTGGGGGCAGCCCGCCAGTCCAGGGATCTTGGAGGATCACTGATGGCTATCCCAGGCTCTGGGGCCACCCTCAGCTCACACAAGCATGTGCACACACATGTTTAGAGAGGAACTCTTACATGTACCCTCACCACGTGTTCCTAAAGACCAGATGTGTGCACAAGCACACACTCTACCCAGTGGGCCCTGCCACACCGATCCCGTATGGGTTCTGTGGCCGCTTCTACGGGCTGACCCAGCCCCGACCCAAGGACTGTGGCTCCCACCTGCTCTTTAAGGTGTTCCAGTCAGACACCAGCTTCTGTAGGCTTTTCTTGTGCTTGAGGATGACTGGGAGCTCCTCCTGGGGACAGGTATGGGAGGGAGGGGGTCAGCGGGCTGGGGAGGTGAGAGGCGAGTCTGGGCATGGGTGGGAGGCAGGGCTGGGGCTGGGGAAGCTGGGCGGAGGAGGAGGCAGGGGGCGGGTCACCTCACTCAGCCTGCTGAGGGGCTGCAGGACATCCCTCTCCAGGGTCATCTCAAATTCAGCCAGAATTCGAGCCAGCTGGTTCTGGATGGCACAGCTCATCTCTAAGGCCTTCCTGTGGATACAGCACGGATGGGCCCCGCCCCGCCCCCCCTGCTCCTCACCCCCATCCAGAAACACTTGATGGGGCCTCCTCCCTTCCCATCACCCCCTGCCCCTTCTATCTGTCCTTCATCTTGGCTGAGCCAACTCCGGTCCCAGACCTGGCCACCCTCACCGACCTGGCCACTGGCCTCTCCCCCCACCCCCACCTCCGCCTCCCCAGAGACAGCTCAAGACACTACCCCCATCCTGGTCAGCCCTCCCTCACTTGGAACCCCTCCCAGCCCAGATCCGCCCCCCTCCTTGGCATCTCCGGGTGAGGGCTGGGGCCCCACTCCTGCTCACCCCATGCTGGAATCGGGGTCCAGCTCCTTGAAGCTCTCGGCCATTGTGGTGGACAGGGCCATGAGGGGGAGCTTCTTCTGCCGGAAGGGCAGGGTGGGCTGTGAGCCTTTGTCCCCCCTGGGCCTCCCTCCACCCCCACCCTAGCACAGGGCAGGCTCCTTGGGGGAAGAGCGCCACTGAGGCACTGGGTGTGGACAAGGCAAGAGGGAAGCCGGGAGGGCCACGGTCTCAGGTAGGAGTGGAGGCGGGATGACGTGAGGCATGGTGTAGAGTGACCTCTCCCTGTGGCCATGTACCCCCTACCCCACCCCATCGGGGGTGCCCTTTTCCCAGAAACCAACGAATTGGGCAGGAGGGACGGACCAAGTGCCCTCCCACACTAGAAAACTAAGAACAGAGGCATGGAGCTTGCCCAAGGTGATGACACAGTTGGAAGGAGAATGGGGGCACTGCAACACCCCGGCAGCCGGGACCCTCCCCTGCCCCAGGGCGGACGTGGCTGGACTTAGTCACTGCTGAGCTCAAAACCCTCCCACTGAGAATTACTAGGAGCACCAGCGTGGGCCGGAAAGACCGGGGATCAAATCTCAATTTTGCCACTTACTAGCTGTGTGACCTTAAGACTTTACCTCTCTGACTTCATTTCCTCATCTGTACAAAGTGCTAATAAAGGCAGCCTCCTCCTACGGGGGTGTCCTCACCAGCAATTAAGGGAGGGAATGCATTAACATATCTTAGCAACAGACTAGCAGGGATCAATCTATAAATGTTGGCTGTTGATTAATACCAGTGAGTATTAATATCTGCTCAACTGCCACTTCCTCCAGGAAGCCCTCACACACTGCCTCAGTTCAGAGGGCCCCGCTTGCGCCCCGCTCGCTCGCTCTGCTCTGGGGGGTGACTGCACAGAGAAGTTCAGGTGCTGTCAGAGGCCTGGCCTTGGCTCAGAGGATTGGTGCAGATGGGGGCGGGGTCCAAAAGGGGATGGGGAAGAGATAGAGCCTTATCAGTACATTGCCTGAGGGGTCTGGGGACTGAGCGGGCTAGACCCTCTGGGTGCCAGAGGCTGGGACCAGCAGGGAGAGCCCAGCCCCGACCTCCCTGCCCCCTCTCTCCCATCGGACAGAGGTGTCTTGTCCAGGCCCCTCCTCCCTGGGACCCGCACTTACCACCCGCTTGTCCATATCCGCCCCGCTCTGGCCTTGCAGACAGGCCTGCAGCCGTTTGTGGACATTGTGGGCTGCCCGTTTGGCTGGCTCCAACCTCTGCTCTACCTGGGGGGGGGGGGGGGGGGGACTCTGGGTTTACCGGTCATGGCAGCTGGTGGCCCCCCACCTCCTCCCACTGCCCTGTTCCTTCCCAGAGCAGGACCACCCTTCTCTTCCCTCCAACTGGGGACCCCATGGCCAACGGCTTGGGGAGTGACTCCACCCGGCCCCCCAAGTGGCGTCCTCACGGGGCCCTTGGCTGACAGCTTGCGCGGGCCTGCCCTGCTACCCGCGGCCGGCCCAGGCCCAGGCACGTACCTGCTGCAGGCCCTCCCCCAGGAACTCGGCCGTCTCTGGGGTGCTGTGGGGGAGGGAGGAGCTTGTGCTGAGGCAGCCCAGGTTAGGAACCCCCCTGCCTCCCCCTGCCCCTCCACAGGACACCTGGACCCCAATTGTCGCTCAGTGCCCCTCCTCCAGGAGGCCGCCCTGGGTGGCCCGCCCGCCTGCCTCATCCCAGCCGGAGCACATTCCGTGGGGGCGGAAAGAGGATCGGTGGCCCTTTCCTCCTCCACCCAGGGCTGTGTCCTGAGACAGAGGGCGGATGAAACCCAAGGCACTGGGGCTGGGAAGCCACCCCAGGGCCCAGCCTCTGTCTTCTGCTGGCCCTGGGGGGGCGGAGGCCGGGGTGGCCCCAAGAACGGGAAGTGTGCGAGCTCACACTCCTGGGCTCTGGACCCGGGTGGTCGGCAGGCCCTGGGTCCCCGCCCGGGAACACACGGGAGGCGGAGGCCCGGAGCGAGGGGGCCTGACTGCCCAGGCTCACACAGGCACCAGCGAGCTGGAAGGCTAGAGCCAGGTCTCCGGACACCCAGTCCCCTCCCCTGGGCCCAGAGAATGGGAAGCTCCCAACACAAGGGGAAGAGGGGAGAGGACAGGCCCAGGGTGCTCCCCAAGCTTCTGGCTTCCACCCCACCGGCTCGGGGGCTGGGGGTGAGAACAGAGGCCCAAGGATGTTTCCACCTGAGGCTGGGAAAAGCAGAAGCAAGAGAGAGAAGCTGGAGGCCTCAGGGCTTGGCTGGGGTTGGGGGGGTGGGGAAGAGGCACACAGCCTGAAGAGGCAGGCCCCTCACCCCTCCACAGCCGGACCTAGTCTCCTCCCCTCCCCCAAGGTCTGGGGCCCTGAGAGCCCCCCCCCCCCCCCCCCCGGCAACCAGAGATGGTTAGCTGTCCCCATTGTACAGAGGGTACAAGTGAGGCCAGGGAGGATCATCCGTTCAAGAGGCTCATGGAAGCAGAGAAGACCCAGCATCCTTGATCCTCCCTGCACTCCTCTCCAACCGGGGGCGGGGGTGCCCCTTTCCCCAAAGGGCCTACCCCCTCCGGCTGGGGCCGTGAGGTGGGGGTGGCATCCAGAGAGGAGGGAGAAGGCGCGGGACTCTGGCCAGTCAGAGGGCGGCTGTCCAGCCGTCCCTGCCCACCCCCCCCCCCACCCCTCACCCTTTAGGGTCCGGGGCGGGAGAGGCGCGGGTTGACACTCACCGTCCCAAGCTGCCCGTCTGGGCCAGCTGCCGCATGCGATGCAGCTGCCTCTTCATCATCTTGGGCCTGGGCTGGGGGCCGCGGGGTCACGGTGGGGGGCGAGGGCCCGGCAGCCCCCGGCCCGGCCTGCCTGCGCCCGCAGTGCCGCTCTCGCCCCGGATGGGTGGGCGGCGCTCTCCGCTTCCTGGGCCAGCCGCGCTCCGGCGGCCGCTCGCTCCCTCCTCCTCCGCGCGCGACTCCGCCCCCAGCCCCCAGGTCACTCCTCTCTCCAAGTTTGTTTTCTCGCTCGTCCCCGGCTTCCGGGCCCCCCGCAGGCGCCCGGCCGGTCCCCGCGACCGTCGGGCCGGCCGCCGCCCGGCCGTCCACAGGTTGTGTGGCGGCCCCGCCCCCGGCCGCGCCCCGCCCCAGCCCGGTGGCGGGAAGCAGGTAAGCCGGCTCCTGCCACCCGCGGCCGGCCCCTGGGTTCCTGCCCCACCCGGAGGCCTGCGGGCCCTGGGTTTAAATAACCTTCACGCCCCTCTTTTTTTTTTTTTTTTAAAGTTTATTTATTTTGAGAGAGAGAGAGAGAAAGAGACAGCACGAGAGGGGGAGGGGCAGAGAGAGGGAGAGAGAGCTGGCTGATGGCGCAGAGCCTGAAGCAGGGGCTCGGTGCCACAAACCCCGAGATCATGACCGGATCCGAAATCGAGAGTCCAACCCTCAAGGAACTGAGCCACCCAGACGCTGGCTTTCGCAGTCCCTCTTAAAGGAGAAAGAGAGTTCCATGCTTAGGAGGCAGAGGCCAAGGACAGGTCTCTCCAACCTGTATTGTGGGCCTGCCCAGGGAGGCTGCCCTGGACTCCGTCTCCAAAGGATTTCCTGGCTACCTGGAGCTAAAGGTTACCCCTGCCTGCTTCCCTCCTGGAGGCTGGCTGGGGACTTTGGCTTCCTGGGGCCACCTTGGTGCCTTGTGACCTTGGACAAGTCCCCGGGAACTCTGGACTTGCTGTCTTTAACTGGCCTGAGGGGCCAGCTGTCCCGCGCCTGCCCATCCCGGAGAGTGGACAAGATAACCCGGCCTATTCCCCTTGTCCCTTTAAGGGGGATGCCCCACCCTCCGGATCAGCCCCCCTGACACCCTGCTCCCTCCCAGCCCCAGCACAGTGGCCTCTGTCTGCAAAGCCCCTTCTTCCAGCAAACTTTTTCTGTCCTCGCCCTTCCTCTCCGAAGACAGTGATGTGGGTGCTGCTCTGAGCCCCCAAACTCAGTAGTAGTTTCTTTGGCCCTCCATCCACGCAAAACAAAGTTGGGCATCCAGTATGTGCGCCAGAACTGTTAGTTAATATGAGAGATTGGGGCAACGGGAGGCTCTCCTTACTCTGAACCCCAGGGCTGGGGGGAGAGGGAGGGGCTTCAGGTAGAGTCTAGCCACGCCCATTGCACTTTGCTTTGCTGGGCATTTTAACTTGGTTTGAGGATTACCTGAGCGCCTACCATGGGTGGGTGGGCAGATGGGGGGGGTTACTTCGGGAGGGCAAAACCTTGGCCTCAGATACGGGGCCTGGCACATAGCGAGCGCTCGCCGGACACTGGCTGCTACTCCTCCAGTCCCTGAAGGGATCCATCAGAGTCCAGTTTAGACCTGGCTTCTTAAGATGTAGGGCTGGGGTTTGCAAGGCCTGGCTTCTTCTTCTTCTTTTCTTTTCTTCTTTTTTTTTTTTTTTTTAATTTTTTTAAATCTTTATTTATTTTGAGAGACAGAGAGAGACAGAGCATGAGCAGGGAAGGGGCAGAGAGAGAGGGAGACACAGGATGTGAAACAGGCTCTAGGCTCTGAGGTGTCAGCATAGAACCCGATGCAGGGCTCGAACCCACAGACTGCAAGATCATGAACTGAGCCGAAGTTAGACGCTTAACCGACTGAGCCACCTAGGCGCCCCTGCAAGGCCTGGCTTCTAGTCCTGGCCCTTCCCCCTTCCTCTCTGACCATATCCCAGAACATCATGATGGCTCTGTTTCCCCCATCTGTGCAATGGGCACAACCTCCTGTGTGCACAATTAGGAAGCGGGCGACTCCTAAGCCAGCAGCTTGACACCAGACACCACAGTTTTACCGTCTGGGAAACCTCGGGGCTACCTGGTGTCCCCACCCTGTTCCAGCCCTGCCTCCTGGAGCACACTGGGCCTGGGCTTGTCCACTTCCCCAGCTGTTCTGAAGGTCCCTGAGGGCAGGGTCTGGCTTCTACCTTGCCCCCCCAGCCCCCAGGCTTGCCCAGGCCTGCAGAGGGGTCAGGGCATGTGGGCTCTGGCAGCAGCTGGAAACCACAGGGGCCATACAACTAGCCCAGTGGAGGCCTGGGCCTCCCACTGGGGCTCCGGGCTCCCCTCCAGTCGGACCCAGTAGCTCTTCTCGGTCTGGCCTGGGTGGGGCTGCTCTGTGTCTTGGCTGGGTGAGGGGGTATATTTAGGGTATATTTAAGCTCAAGCACACTGGGGTGCTGAGTCCTGAAGGGTTGGAAGCCCCAAAGGTTGGATCCTAGGCTGTTCCTTCGAAGGATGTTGTAATCAGAGACTTTTGGACTCTGAAATTTTATCAGCAAAGGTCGAGATTGTAGGTTTGGGACCACAGATGTGGAAGGGGGCGCTTTGGAGGTCACCGGCCAGCCTCTTCTCCAATCACAAGACCTTTTCACACTGTGTCGCGAGGGCTTGTAGACTTGGCTGGATCTCCTCCGTGCGTGCTGAATCCTGTATGGCCTAGCAATGGGCCACGGTCACAGCAGCTCAATAGACAGGGTTGGCTTGAATGGCAAAGTGGAGACGTTGCATCAATGGGCACTTATTTCCTACCCAGAGACAGCGAGAACAGAGCTGAAGTGTGTGTGGTCGAGGCCGGCCAGCTGGGCTCAGCCTCGAACTAGCCGGGTGACCTTGGGTAGGGTAGCTGACCTGAGCCTCGGTGTCCTTGGCAAACTAAGGACCAGAGCATGTACCTGACTGGCTGTCACGAGGACTAGATGGGTTCCTATGTGAAACTGCTTCTAACAGGCCCTGCTTCCTCTTAGTCAACCTGCAAAGTCTGGAATGAAAAGACCCTCGGCCCCATTGCTGCCTAATCGCACCCTTAAGTGTGTCCTGCTGCCTTCTTGGGGGACAGTAGCACCTATTGTCATGTCGTTTAGCACATCCTTCAGTGAGGTTGGTATCGTCCCCACGTCACAGGGGAGTACACCCAAACTCCTGGCCCCAGGTCCCAAGCTGGTTAAGCGGCAGAGGCCGAGGTAGAAAGCAGATCTGACAGACTCCGAAGCCCCCAGATGCCCTCCTGCTGTGCCAGATGGCCCAGAGGTCCCTGTGCAGATCAGTGGCCGCTGGTGAAGCCTGAGCAGGACGTGCGTGGGGAGGCCAGTGGCTGGGCGTGGAGGCCAGGGCAGCGAGGGTGGAGTGGCGGGGGGGCGGGGCAGCTGCGGGGCAGCTGCCCTTCAGACACTTTGACAAATTGCTCGTCTGCGGTCACATCCGTGCTGGGCTCCGGGTGGAGACTTCTGCTCAGAGCAGCCAGGCACGTGGGGTGATTTCTGGGGCTCTGAAAACTTGCCTGCCTTCTCGAGCCAGAAGGACTTTCCCAGAAGGAACCCCTGGGGTGGGGCTGAGGCAGGGGGACAATCCTAGGGAGCCTGTGCCCTGAACCCTGACTCCAGAGGACAGCAGCCCACGGGGGGTTGGGGAGGGCCTGGGAGACAGAGGGGCACCTCACAGGCCTGCCGGCCCGACTCGGGCCCTCACTTGCGCCTTCAGGCCTCAGCTGCCCCCTAGCACAGGCGGCCCTGAGGACTGTGGACTGGGTCAGGCTGGGCCTCGGGCGGGCTCCTGTGTCCTCCGCCTGTGGGGGAGGGGACAGCAGGACAGCAGCGGGGACAGCAGGACAGCAGCAGGGACGGCTTCTCCTGGCTGCCACAAACAGAAGCAGTGCGCTGCGATTGCCAAAAAAGAAACCCAAAACGAGCGCTGTGTCCAGGCGCGTGAATAAAGTGGAAGTGTGGCTTCAAGGTCTGGGAAGTCCCACGGCTCCTGAGGTGGGGGTGGGGGACCCTTCGAGAAAGAGAGAGAACACTCCTTCCCTGTTCACCCTGGCCCAGCCCTAGCCCTCCAGAGGCCCTGGGTCTCCTGTGCAGGGAGTGCTCCCAACCGCTGGTGGAGTCCACACACCCGATCCTGGGAATGGCTCCTCCAGGGACTGGAGGCTGGGGGTCACCTCCCGTGGTCAGACCGCACCCCTGGCCCCTCAGCTAGATGCGGGGCACCTGTGATCCCTCAGGCCCACCTCCCTCCCAGCTCTGTGGCCTGATGCACTGAGCTCCTGGCTCGTAGGTTCCACACCAGCCGGTGGACTGACCACGGGGCCGTGCCTGGTGTGGGGGCTGCTCAGAGGCGCCTGCGGGACGGCAGACAGGTGGGTGGGTAGACTAGGCAAAAGGGAGGATGGCGGGGCCAAAAGAGAAAAGGGGTATCCCTGTCCCTGGAGCATCTGGATCGCTCCAGGCCAACAGCCTCGGGAACCCCTTTGCTCAAGAATGCTTCAGAAGGCCTCGGTGGGGCCTTGCAGCTCACAGGGGCCCTCCCCACTATCAAAAAGGAACCTAAAGGGGGCGCCTGGGTGGCTCAGCAGGTTGAGCTTCTGGCTCTCGGTTTCAGCTTGGGTCATGATCTCCCGGTTCATGGGTTCGAGCCCCACACCGGGCTCTGGGCCGACAGTGCGGAGCCTGCCTGGGATTTGCTCTCTTGGACCCTCTCCAGCTTGTGCTCTCTTTCTCAAAAAATACATTTAAAAAATTTAAAATTAAAAAATTAAAAGAAAATTCTGTAAAAAAAAAAAAAAGAAAAAGAAAAAGAAAGAAGAAAGAAAAGGAACCAACCCAAAGGCCAAAGGCCAGAGATGGGAGCACCTTGCTCAAAATCACCCAGTAAGCCAGCCAGGGACCCTGCTGAGAGCAGGCCCAGACTCCCAGCTCGAAGCTGCACACATTCTCACCCCAATCTGCAGCCCTTGCACAGTTGGTAAGAGATGGTACTCCAGATGGTCCCCCTGGGATGCCAGGGTGGCATTACAGGGGGTGAGGTTTCCTTTCGTTTAGAAGAACCTTCCTACTAGAGGCTGTCGGTCAGAGACCTCACAAGTGTCCTCGCAGAGTCTGGCCTGGTGGGGAGGGGAACAGGAACCAGGCCCCGTGGCAGGGGCGCCGAGAGGTCAGGGCGTCTGGAAGCCTCACTGCAGGTGGGCTGTGTTGGGGGGGGCCCCACTCTATAGAGATCTGTGCTCCTGTGCGCCCCCCCCTTCCCC